ATGGGAACTTTTTAGAGCTATGTTATAATCTTTGTATTATCCTGACACTATTAACTACTAGTTTGCTGAAACCCCTTGTTATTTCCAATCCAATAACTGCTGAAAAATATGTAGTAATGGTGCATTGGTCCTATTTGAAACGTATCCACATTTCAAGTTCGTGTTTTCTAATCACTCAAAAAAAAAAAAAAAAAACAGGAAATAGATTTAGGGTCGTGTGGGACCGAATTTTATGTTTGGGCATTGAAAACACAAAGTTAGAGGGATTTCTTTGATGCCAACATTCTCAAATCATATTTGTCAAGCAATTGAAGCTCAAAGGATGTTCCAAATCGATTCCTTCTCCAGGCTCGACTCTAGGGCATCCATTTGATGGACAAACAAATGGATCTGAGGTTTTAAGAGCTCAAGCTCATTTTTATAGTGGAAATTGATTAGTGCAGTGAATCATATACATTTCTGAAGGGTTCATTTTACAATGTTTCATGTATGTTTCCTGCCGGACCAAAATTCAATTTGGTTCTGGAGGACCACCATACACGTGCCCAAGAAAAGGGCCTTCCCAGAAATTTGGTTGTCATGGTCATTATCCCAAGGGAAAGTTGTTTACATAGAGCTGAGGCTCTAAACAATTAAATTAGATCCTACCTCAAAAATTTCACTAAAAGAGGTTGTTTTGACGTCCAAATATACTCAAATTGATCATCTTGACATCAAGATGCATGGACATTAGAAAAAAATTGATTTCAGGTTTTCATAGATATACTTGATCTACACTATTTTTGAAGCTTTAAATCTTATAATGACGTATGAAAATAGTTTGTAAGGCTATCATAAAGATTTTCAGCGTTGAAATACATTTTTCGACACCATTTGAAGGTGGGCTGTAACTTGATTGTTTAGAGCCTCGGCTCTATACAAACCTCACCCTTATCCTAAATGCTGATAATATATACAGTTAAGAGGGAAGAAGCTTACATCCTTTCACTTTTCATTGCAGTATGGCAGGTGTGACTACGGGCAATGTCGGCTACCTAGCAAATGCAATTCATGAGGTCACAAAATCTACTTAAAAGGAGTTTCTTATTTTTACAACATCTTTGAACTATTTCCTTAAAAAAGGATGAAAGCAAGAGTTAAAAAAAGCCATTTGAGGCTTTCCCCATGATTCATATGGGGAGTCTACCAAATAAAGAGGTTTTAAGTTATACACCCTTTTTGCCTGTGTTTTTCAGGTCTCCTTTGTGGGAGGTCAGAAATTGTATCTTGCAATAAAAGTAACCTCTTTGTTTTCATTTTTGTAAGGGTTCCTTGGAAGGTGAAATGCATGGAATGATATGAGGCTGTGATTTTTTAATCTTAGTATCTGACCCCATTGCACTTATCCTCTCTGTCTCAGCCTGTGTTTAAACTGGAATTTGGTAGGACTCGTGTGGGGTCATTGATTGATTGTTACAAACTGGAAGAAGATAAGTTCTTTATAAGTTCATCTTGCTTTAGGTTTTCCCCAATGTTCCAATCCTGGATTCCAAAGCCAAACAAACCCGGCAAGTTGAGACCTAAGACACGATTTAATTAGCAATAGCCAAGTTACAAAAAAGAAAAAACTAATAAATTCTTGACAGCTATAATGAATAGTAAAATAAGTGGAATTTTAACAGTTAGATCTTTATCGAGTGGTTCAAAGCATATATCACTATTTAAATTTTAATAATTTTTTCTAGAAATCGGATAGTGATGTAATTTTGTACATGTGTACCACAAAATAGGGTGTATAAGGAAAAAATATAAAATAAATATTTTTTAAAAGAAAAATATCCCCTTTAACTCTTATTTTTAACTTTTGTATCTCTTGATATCCAAAAAATGAAAATATTACTTATAATCAAAAACAGCTTATTTTTTTTCATCTTACAATCTCCTGGATTTTTTTATTATAAATTTTTTATCCTAAAAAGAATTAAAATGACTATCTTATTTTTGTTCTTTTTCTTTTTTTCGTTAAACTAGAACCACCTTCCCTCTCACTCACATCACAGTCTCTCTCTCTTACAACCCCAAGGAAGCAAAGCAAGATTTTTTTCACAAGCCCGGAGACTTGAGCAAAACGGTATCATTCTCATTCTTCGGCTTGAGTGGCTTCCTCGACTTCTTTTGCTGGACTGGTTCAGCTTCTGCAACAACCGTCGCCATAGCAAGAGAGAGAGAGAGACTGTTCATTTGCAGAATCGGAGAAGAACCTTGTCCATCTCTCAATTACATACGAGACTTTATGCATATAAAATTGTCCCTCTACCGAAGGTTCCTCTACTGAAGGTGAGACAGGAGCCACCATGTTCTCTCTCTTCTCCCACTTTCTCTCTCTACAATTCTTGTTTCCTCTAGTTCTCAGCAGTCATGACTCTCTCTCTCTACCATTCTCTCTCCCTCTGCAACAATCCCAAACCCCTGTCTCTAAACGGCCCCCAAAGTCTCACTCTCTCTCTAGAAATACTCACCCCAAAACCCACATCAAGCAGGTCCCTATCACTAGCGCTCCATCTATGCCTCCACCTCGTTGGCAAGAGCCAAACTTCTCAAACGCCCCAAATTTGGCAAAAATGCAACTACGTTTGGGGTTCCTGTGTCTCCTCTAAGCTATGGTAGCTACATTGTCACTCTCGATTTCGGAACACCTCCGCAACCTCTTTCTTTCATCATGGACACAGGTAGTGAACTTGTTTGGTTTCCATGTACCTCAAAATATATATGTGAAATGTTCCCAAATCCAATGACCCCTACTTTCTTTCTTAAACAATCCACCGGGTTGTATAAATCCAATGACCCCTACATTCTTCCCTAAATAATCCACCGGGTTGTCTAAATCCAAAGTGTAAATTGATAAGTGAATCTTCAGGCTAAATTTCTCTCTGTAAATCCCCTGTGAGCTCACGTTACATCATACGATATGGGTCTGGTTCAACCTCTGGTCTTCTCTTTGAGACTCTGAATTTAGCAAGATCCTCTCAATTTAGAAAGCGGGGGAGTTCTAGATAGAGAGAAAACGAAAGCACCTTCTGGAGCCAGAGTGGGAGTTTTAGATAGAGAAAACCAGAGCTTTAAAGAGAGAACCAGAGTTTCTTCAATTCTCTCTTTCCGCCTTGTGGGTGGGAGATTCATTAGACCACAGAATATTTCCTCGTTGAAAGGAAACAATAATTTCCTCAAAAGCTCAGAAAATATGTCAGAGCTGAAATGGTGTTCTGCTGCGTCTCTGCAAGTGATCAGAGAATTGATCCAAGATTTGTACAATGGGAAACGAAACCCTAACTTTCTGCAAATAAACCCTAATTGCAGACAAAAGACGCAAGATTCGTACCAAATTGAAGACCCTATTGGTTGCAGAATAGAGAGACGGAGAGCTTTGAATCTCTTAGAGTCAAGGCATGTAAAGCCCTAGAAGTCTCGAGAGAGAGCTGCCTTTGCTCGCAACAGAGAGAGAGCGACCTCCGGTTTTCGTAAGAGAGAGATGGAGTTTTGAGAGAGACGTGATAAGAGAGAGGGTGTGGTTCAGGTTAATGGAGCAGAAAAATAAAAAAAAGGGTAGAGTGTCATTTTAGTTTTTTTTAAGGTAAAAAAGTTTATAGTCGAAAGGATCCAGAGGTAGTAAGATAGAAAAGATTTATTTAAAATTATTAAAATTATTTTTTTATATTGTATATGGTACGCAATAGGACCAAGTATTTCATCTCAATCAAATTTACATAAATAAAAATAAAATAAAATAATGATATATATTTTGAGATTTCACCTACATACCATTCACTATTTCGTAGCTTTACCTGTAAAAGAAAAAGTAAAAAATGTGTAGAGCTCTGGTCAGAGATGGACATATAGGCTGCTATATCAGATGCATTGGCTAATGATGCACCGTCAAATATAATACATTTTTACGATGGCAAGGCTTAGACTATTCAATTTTCGATTGAAACATCCAATATTTACCTTCGATTTCGCATGCCTATATTGCCACATTTTTTTACACCTAATGGCTAAATACCATAGTGGCCTGTTTGTACCAAAAGCAATATTAAAAACTTAGATCGGCACGGTAAATCGACCATCCCAGAAACCGGTCCAGGTTAGTGATCTCTCATTGGGATTAGTAATCAGGCCAAGAGAATCGACCAATAAAAAATAAAAAATTAAAATAAAAAATTAAAAATTAAAATAATAATAATAAATAAAACATGGGCAAATCGGCTAGTTTTGTTAAAAAACCGACCGTTTTTTAATGGAAACCAAATAGTTTCCAATATATAAAGGGAACCGGGACAACCCCACCAACTGGGTTAGATAGGGTCATACAAATTCAACTTTGTATTTTTTAAAGCTAAAAGATATTGTACTTCCATGGGAGTGTACTGTCCATTTACCCCTCCTAAAGCCCCACTCCCTTCTCACCGAATTAATTTTAAGATCCCAAATTTTGAGGATGCTCCCTCTTTATCCCTTATATTAACCTCAATAAAAATTTATCCCTTATATTAACCTCAATAAAAAAGTCTTTCCTCATTGGTCTCAATGATAGAGACCATCCAATTTTTAGGTGGTGAGATCTAAAGTTTCAAAAAACTCAAATTTCAATTTGTTTTATGGGAATACTCGTTTTGTAATTCTTAAGTGGTTCTTAAAATTTTTTTAAAAAATCCTCTCAAGTCGATCATCTAGCCGATGGACTACAAATAAACTATGCCCTTGAGGAGCATAGTATATGTGCTCTTTTCTAAAATATTGGGCAAAATTGAACAGTCTCATCATGTAAATTTTATTGAAAAAACTTGAAGGAAAGAGATGGACCCACTCCTAGGATTAAGGGAAGTGTCTTTAGACTATCGATCGCAAAGATCAGTCTTTTATCAAAACTGTGAAAACTCTGTAAATTTCTGTGTACTTCTCCATGGCCATGAAAGCCTTCTTAAAGAGGGATGGAGTACGCCGCTCTCCAATGTTCGGCTTCTCCTTGAAATCTCTAAGAAAACGTGGCCGTTAAATAACGACACTTTCTCTCTCTAAGAAGCGTCCTTTTTTTAGTGATAACCATTAAATTATAAGAGAGAGAAATACTACACGTTTAAAGGCCCTATGGCCACACACACGTACCAACATCTCCCACTTGCCCATGAGGACCAGATATATTGAAATATCATAAAGTCTTTACCACTTAATGAATTTAACATTTATGTGCATATTTTTGTCATGAGGCTTTCACGTAAGTGCGGTTATATATCTCATAACAAAAAATATCCAAAGTCATGTCATGGTTTTTTACGTTAATGCGGTTTTTCCTCTTATGACCAAGACATCAAAAAATATCCCATTTGGGACTTCCTGACTTAAATATTTTTAAGTCCCATCAAAATTACATGCTGTGATAATATTTCTGCATTCAATCCCTTTGTTAAAGGGTCAGCAATTATATCTGGAGATTACAAATAACTTACAATTATTTCATTCTTTCCAATAATATCATAAATACCTTTGCAACTATAAGCTCCATTTCTAATTGATGAAATAGCAGCCTGATTATCACAAAAAAATTTAACAGGTCTGTCGGCTATATCCAGCTTCAAATCATTTATGAAGCGCTTAATCCAGACGGCATAAGTTGTAGCAATGCTACAAGCAATATACTCGGCTTCCATAGTATACCGAGCTACACAACCTTGTTTCTTATTAGACCAAGAAACACATCTACCACCAAAGAAGAATACAATTCCTGAGGTTGATTTTCTATCATCTGGGTCGCCTGCAAAATCTGCATCAGAGTACCCAGTAACCTCTAAGTTGTCATTTTTTAGTTTTCTGAATATATCTAAGTATTATTTTTATAGCTTGTCAATGAGCTATCCCAGGATTACTCTGAAATCTACTTACAAGACCATATGCATGACTCAAATCAGGTCTTGTACACAACATGATATAATTTATGCATCCTACAGCTTGAGCTTATGAAATTCTTTCCATTTCAGCTTGTCAGCATCATTTAATAGACATATTTTCTTTGATAATTTTAAGCCTTTACAAACAGGTGTATCTATGGGCTTGCAATTTTCCATATTAAATCTCTTTAAAACAATTTTTAAATAATTTTCTTGAGATAAACATAGAAGTCTTGAACTTCTATCTCTTGTTATCTTAATGCCCAATACATATGAGGCTTCTCTCATATCTTTCATCTCAAAATGAGAACTTAGCCATGATTTGGTATGGTTAATCATTCCAATATTATTATCGGCTATCAAAATATCATCCACATATAGTGACAATATAACAAAATTGCTCTCACTATTCCAGACATATACACAATGGTCTAACCTATTGGCTATATAACCAATTTCAATGATTGCATTATGAAAAATAAAGCACCATTGCTTAGATGACTGCTTTAGACCATATAAAGATTTCTTAAGTTTATATACTTTGTCTTTTTGGCCTTTAATTACATATCCTTTTGGTTGTTTCATGTATATATCTTCTTTTAATTCTCCATTTAAGAAAGTTATTTTGACATCCATCTGAAATAATTCTAGATCATAATATGCAACTAATGCAAGGATGATCCTAATAGATGAAAATTTTGCTACTGGAGAATAAGTTTCTACATAATTTATGCCCTCCCTTTGGGTAAATCCTTTAGCTACCAACCTAGCCTTATATTTATCAATGGATCCATTTGAATTAAGCTTTTTCTTTAGGACCCATTTGAAACAGATGGCTTTTCTATCTTTAGGGAGGTCAACCAACTTCCAGACCCGATTTCATTTAATAAAATCAAGTTCATCATCCATGGCTTGAGTCCACTCAGCTGAGTCATGTGAGCTAATAGCTTCACTGTAGCTATAAGGTTCATCTATTGTATCCTCACTCATTGAAAAGTAATTATCTTCATTCATAAATACATAAAATTCTTCTAAAGTCGTAGATGAGTCTCTAGTTCTTTTAGGTCTATCTGGTATAATTGATTCAATTGAATCATTCTCACCAAATGTAGAAGGAGTCTGAGAAACAAGGTCTTCCGGACCCTTATCTTTATTATTTCATGTAAGTCAATAGGCTTATTTAAAATATTTTTATCATCTATATTTTTTAAGAAATGAGCATCACGACTCTCTACTGCTGATCTAATATCATGGTTATAGAATCTATACCCTTTAGAATTTTCTGAATAGCCTATAAAAGAGCATTTTATAATTTTACTTTGTAATTTATCTCTATTTTGTGGTGGTATAAGCACCTGTACCCAAGAACCCCAAACTTTCAAGATAGTAAGGTCATATTTCCTATCCGTCCATAATTCATATGGGGTCAAGTCTATAGATTTAGTTGGAACACGATTAATGATATATATTACAGTGTTGAGAGCCTCACCCCAAAAACGAGGTGATAAATTTGAATGACTCATCATGGACCTAACCATGTCCATTAGAGTTCTATTTCTCCTTTCAGCTACACCATTTTGTTGTGGTGTACATGGTATAGTTGTTTGGTGAATTATACCATACTCTTTACAAAATTCAGAAAATAAGGCGGAGCAATATTCACCTCCCCTATCTGTTTGAAGAATTTTAATATGTTTACTTACCTGATTTTCTACCTCAACTTTATATTCTTTAAATGTTTCTAATGCATATGATTTATTACTAATTAAGTATACATATCTATAACGTGAATAATCGTCTATAAATGTTATGAAATATTCCATACCTCTATGTGTTTTAACATTTAATGGATCACATATATCAGAGTGAACAATACTAAGTAGTTCACTAGACCTTTTCCCTTTAGAAAAAGGCTTATTAGTTAATTTACCAGAAATACATGGCTCGCATGTTTTGAACACAATTTCTCCTAAATTGGGGAGCAAACATCTTTTAACCATTTGATTCATTTTGTTTTTATTTATACGTCTTAATCTAAAGTGCCATAAATATGGATCATCCATACACAGAAAAGCATAAAAAAAAGCATCAATATAACCAGAAAATGATGAACTTTCATTAATATTCAGTCGATACAAATTGTCAACTTTAGTACCGTACACCAAAGCTCTAGAATGCTTCCCATTGGTAATCCGCTAAAATCTGAACCTTATTTCATAACCCTTGTCGTCTAACCTTGGGACAGAAATCTAATTGCGCCTCATATTGAGCGCATATAATGTATCAGTCAATAAAAGATTTGTTCCTCCTGATAAACACAGCGTGAAGGTACCAACACCTAGTACATAGCAATAGGTGTCATTTCCCATATAAATCCGCTGGTTACCGCCTGCAATATCTTTCAATTCTGTGAATCTATCCTTGGTCCTCGAGACATGTCGAGTGGAAGCTGAGTCGACCCACCAATTTCTCAGGTCATGATCGACAACTATTGATTCTATGACTACGCAGATCAAGTCATTTATCTTATTTTGATTATTTCGAACAAGGTTGTTATTTTGGTTCCTATTTTTATTTTTCAGCTTAGAATAATTAAACTTGATATGCCCAATTTCCTTACAATAAAAACTCGTCTTCTCAACCTTATTCTTTTGATTTTTAAAATTTCTCGTCATTCCCTTACACCTAGTATTTTTCTGATAATTGAAATGTTTCTTGAGGATTTGAGAAGATGAACTTTGGGCAAAGTAAAACTCATTTGACTTCTTCATCATTATTCTCTCAGCTTAAATACTAAGATACATGGGAAGATTTAACATGGTTATCCCTTGTGCAGAATGATTCAATGCAATTATAACAGACTCCCAAGATGGAGGGAGACTGTTAAGGACAATGGATACTTACATGGGATTGGGCACTGGATTCTCAGCTGCAGCAAGGTCCTTTGCGAGCACTGTCATTTTATTGACATGCTCGGTCACTGTGTATGTTTCTTTCATTCTACAAGAATTATATTTTTCTAACAACAATTGTACATGGGTCTCAGAAGTGGTCTCATACTTTTCAGATAGGACGCCTATCATACTTTGGGCTGTGGTGTAATCCTCAAAGACTCTAATTAAATCATCTTCCATAAAGCTCAACATAGTAGTCCTAGCTACTTTGTCATCTTCTAACCATTTTTCAAGTCTCCTGCTGGCTTGACCATTGGCATTAGGCTCTAAAACCGGTGGTTTTGTTTCTAGGAAATAATCTACCCTATCTTGAAAAAGAATATATCCAATTTTTCTTTTCCACATAGAAAAATTGGTCCCATTGAGTTTTTCAACTTTGGATAATTCTGACATGATTAGCCTAGATGCCATTTAAAATTTTTAGATAATACCTAAAAGTTTAAAAACAAATTTAATTGTGTTTAAGAAAAGATTGTCTACTAGCTAAATCAATAATTTTGCCGACTTTCAGTGAGCTGCAACTTCAAAGAAAAATTTTCTCAAACAGTTTATGCTCGCACTGCTGTGATGCAACAAAAAATTAATAAAGGCAACAACTACTTTTATGTCAAATCTTGCATAAGAATAATTTTCATAAATATGTGAATATGTCTAAGCACGAGATAGAGAGTCTACAATGATATTTGATATTTTTCAACAAAAAATATGGCATTGCATAATCACAAAAAAAAAAAAATTCACAAAATCAAGATCATGAAATTTTCTAACTTAAAGAGACCAAAGCATAAGATAATTATGCAATGCAGTGACAATTATTATGCAAATAAAAAAAACAAAAATAAATAAAAATATGCAATTGATATATAAGCATGTACTCCAATAGAATGGGCGCGTGCATAATAAGATTTAATAATAATAATAATATGCACTAATTTTCAGCAACAAAAAGATGGAGGAAAAAGATGTCAGCCGCCTGATTTTCAGCAGTCCATGGCTACTAAAAAAGGTATATAACAATACGTAAATTTAGATGTTCACCTTTTTTCTTTTTTCTTTTTTTACAAATTACTATTATTATTATTATTAATTTTATTAAAAAATAGAGAGAAGAATTATTTGCCTTATTTTCTGTTACTTGACCGTGGGTTCAAGTATGTATTGTATCAGCAACTTGATCTGAGAGAAAAAATAACTATATTCCTACTCTAGAGAGAGCCGGAATATTGAGACGTAGAGAGAGAACCTAATATTGAGGCATATGCTAAGTTAAGATAACTCTTCTGCAACAATCTTAAACTTATTTTCTCTCTCTTCTTATTCTTTTGATGATTCTTCTAGTGTCTCTATCTCTTTAACTTTTCTCTACAAAAGATTAAATAGATGACTCATCCGAGTACGCTATGATCACATAAGTCAAACGCAATCTAGAGAGAGAAAATATGGAAAAGAATTTATGGAGAGATAATATTCCAAAACAAACAATATCAATAAAAAACAAACACTAAATCACAAATAAGGAGCAATAAATTAAGAGAGAGAAATTTATAAAAAATGAATAAATTCAGACTATCAAATTTAAGGTTAGAAAAAAATTTACAGCAAGATATACGTGAATGACAAAGCACAATATCAAAGTTACTGTAAATTAAACTCAGAAAAAAATATAGATATATAAAATACCAAAAAAAAATTGGGATCTATAGGTTATGAACCCACTACGCTTCCACAATCTGCTCTGATACCAATGTTGAAAAATCTTGAGGGAAGATATGGACCAACTCCTAAGATTAAGGGCAGTGTCTTTAAACTATCGATCACAAAGATTAGGCTTTTATTAGAACTATGAAAACTCTATAAATTTCTATGTATCGACCATGAAACCCTCCTTGAAGAGGGATAGAGGAGGTTGGAGAAAGAGGGATAGAGGAGGCCGTTCTTCAACGTTTGGCTTCCTCCTGAAATCTCTAAGAAAACGTGGCCCTGTAATCCTGGTCGGCTTCCTCCTGAAATATCTGAGAAAACGTGGCCCTGTAATCTTGAAAATCTCTCTTTAAGAAGATTCTATTTTTAGTGATAAGCATTAAATTATATGAGAGAAAAATATTGCACGTTTAAATACCCATGGCCATACACAGGTACCAACAAATTTCCCACCCCTGAGGGCTTGTTAAATATTTTACAATTCTTGGTTTTTAAGTATTTATGCATGGGGATGTGTGACATGTGCAAGGAGCGTTTCTGCTTATGTCTATTCCAATTTTAGGTAATATCATTTTAAGTTAATTACTTTTTGATACTCTTAGACTAATTAAATTATAATCACTTTAGTGATGCAAAATCAATGACATGTAAAGTTGAGATTGTAAGACAACAGGTTACCCTCTTGGCAACCCCTTATAAGGAATCAACTGATCTGCATGTTCAAATGCCTCACCATGCGGTATATACACTCCTGTTGGGTATGTGTCATATCCCTCACAGCAAAAGCATGCACCTTGTGATCAACCTCTATCCAGCTACACCCAGCTCTCTTTTTCACTCTTCTCCCCTCCATCAACCTCCTCACCTCTTCCACCTCCTCCCACCTCCCAAAACCTGCTAAAAAATTTGAAAAGAGCACATAAAAACCTGGGTTCTCACTACCCAACTCTATTATTCTCCTCCCTGCATAAATCCCAATATTCAAATTACTGTGTATTCTACAAGCTCCAAGAAGAGCCATCCATACATCCACACCAGCTTTCACAGGCATTTTCTCTATCAAATCCAATGCCTCTTTGACCTGCCCTACTCTACCAAGCATGTCCACCATACATGCATAGTGCCCCTCACTCGGGCTCAATCCGAAGTTCTCGATGCTGTTGAAAATCTCAGTTCCTTGATCAACTAGACCACCATGGCTGCAAGCTGATAAAATAGAAAGAAAAGTAACATGATCAGGCTTCTCGACTTTCTTGAAAAGCGCGAGAGCTTTCCCACCCTGACCATGTATAGCATATGCTAATATCATAGCATTCCAAGACACAAGGTTTCTCTCGCTAATTCTGTCGAAAATCCTTCGGGATTCCTCAATTTTCCCACATTTTGAATACATGTCAATTAGGGCACTACCCACATATGTATGATCTGATAACCCATGTTTCAGTGCATGCAAATGGAGCTCCTTTCCTGGTTTGAGGCTGGAAGTTTGGGCAAAAGCTGATAAGACACTGGTAATTGTGATTGGGTTAGGCGTGGTTTTAGTGTTACACATATCTCGAAAAGTGTTTATGGCTTCATTATGATGGCCATTTTGTGCGTATCCAGCAATCATTGTGCTCCAAGAAATCACATCTCTCTCAAAAATTTGTGTAAAGATTTGATGGGCTCTCTGAATTGATTTGCACTTGCTATAAACTGATATCAGGGCATTCCTGATTCTGATATCTGTCTCCAAACTGTGTCTATAAGTGTAGGCATGGATTTCTTGACAGTAGTCAAAGAACTGTAAATCTGAGCACGAAGGGAGAATACTGGTGATAGTAACAGCATCAGGAATCAAGCCCAAATCGAGCATTTGGGTGAAAATCCGGAGAGCATCATGAGGCCTATCGTTCTGAGAAAATGCAGAAATTATCCCACTATAGGTAATTGTATCACAATGACATCCTGTGAGTCTCATTTCATGGAGGAGAGCTAAGCTTTCATCAAAAAAGCCATTCTGGGCATAACCAGAAATCAATGCATTCCAAGCCACTTTATCTTTCTTGATTGAATTCCTAAACAAAATATTTGCATAATCATTTCTACCGCATTTTCCATACATAGAAACCAGTGAATTACGTACTCTGAAAGTAGAGTGGAATCCATTTCTGATAGCATAGCCGTGAATTTCTCTTCCTAAAGCCAAAGGACATCCTGCCAGTGCACTTAAAATGGTGACACTATCTGGTTTATATCCACTCTCAATCATCTTCTGAAGCATTTCCATAGCTTCATCAAAAAACCCATGTTCTATATAACCAGTTATTATTGAATTCCATGATATTCTGTCTCTTTCAGGCATTTTATTGAATAATTGGATCGCATGTTCGAATCTCCCACATCTGCAAAACATTGAGAGTAATGAATTCGAGACGAACAAATCCTCCTCAAGCCCACTTTCCCTTACTAAATCATGTAATACCTTACCTTGATTGCGATCAGACAAGAGAGCACAAGCCTTGAGGACACACGAAAACGTGTAGGAATCGGGTTTCATCCCGGCGGCTCTTTTGTTATAGAATAAAGCCAAGGCCTGCTCATGAAACCCATTAACAACATATCCTCTGATCATGGAATTCCATAAAAAGACATTGTGCTCAAGGATACCATTGAAAACCAGTCTAGAGAGAATGACATTTTTTGAGGCCGAATAAAAGGTGATAAGCTTGCAAGCAAGAAATGGGTCTTGGCCCAAACCAGTGATCAAGATCTTTGCATGGATTAACCTTCCCTTTGTTTGATGATTACTTTCGATGCAGGAATCTAGCAACATTCCATAGTTTTTTGCGCTGATTACAGAGATAGAGGGTTCTTCGCCATTGAATTTCGAGGGGCTTGATGGTTTAGAAACGGGGCAGAACGATCTGGTGAAGGAGATAAAGAGATTGGGAATTGGGTTTAAAATGGTACTAGGTTTCATTTGTGAGAAGTCAAATATAATGAGAGGTTACATAGCTGTGCTGCCATAGCATAAGATTTGAGCAAACCTCAAGAGAGACAGAGAGGGAGATGAGTAACGAACATTTACGCGGTGCTTTCAATTACAAGCAGTATGCACGTGAAATCATGATATTTAATAGTAATTACCAAAATAATAATAAGATTATAATAAGGGTGCGGTTCCTGTAAGGTTGCAACCTTAAACAATAATTTTGTTGTAAATTTTTTTAAGATTATCTTAAAATCTATTTTTATATCTTAAAAAATTGTAAACTTCAAAAATAGTTAAAATCAAGTAGATCTATAGACACATGAAAATCTTGAAAATGGACGGTCTAGATAATATGTTGCAAGGTGCACTATTTTGAAACTCAATTTTTTTATTTTTTTAATATTCATACATCTCGATGTCGAGATGATCAATTAGAGGGTTTTTCAACATTAAAACAACCTTTCCAATAGTTTTTTGAACTGCATATGTAATTCTATATTTTAAGGTTGCATCCCTATATAAAATTTTCCCTTATAATAAATAAACAAAATTATATTTTTGATAGAAATTTTTTAAATGGAAAACATTTATATAAGGTTGCAACCTTAAAATGTAGAATTGTTGTTTTAATGTTGGAAAACCCTCTAATTGATCATCTTGACAACGAGATGTTTGATATAAAAAGAAAAAATATTTCAAGATCGAAAAATAGTGTATCATGCAACACATTATCTGGACTGTTCATTTTCGATATTTTCATGTATTTATAGATCTACTTGATGTGGACCATTTTTAGAGTTTAATTTTATATTTAGAGATAAAAATAGATTTTTAAGCCATCCTAAGAATTTTGTATACCAAAATTACATTTATGATAAAATTCAAAGGTACGCTTTTATTGGATTGTTTAAGGTTGTGACCTTATGGAAATCACATCTTTTTTAAATTATATTAATTATATTGTTAATATTTTTATTATCAAATTCGTATGATATAAAAAATAGCTTTCAATAAAGTTAATAACTTAATAAAGCATGCGTATGAGAGGAGAGATTTTTAGACGGAGGGGAAGGAGGAGAGACATGTAATGGAGATAGATGGGTGGGGAGAGATAGATTGGAAGGAAAGAGAATGCGGAGGACAACTTTAGTTAATTATAGAGAGAAAGAAAGCTGGAGAGGTATATAAAGTTGGGGGTCATATTATGGGATCTTACTTGATCAGGTGATTTCTCTGTGAAGTCCACGTATGACGTCGTGTTTTGTGATCGTAGTAGGTAGTTGGATCCGGGTCTTCATAATATCAATAAGCTATATATGCCTCTTAAAGTTCAATTGTTCTGATGAATCTTATGTCATAATAAATTAAAAACAGTTGATAATTTAAGGAAGTAACGATGTATCATCACCAATATTTGTACTCTATGTAAGGCGAGTGATTAATCAGCCCAACACCTATTTTTATCGTGCCTTTTTATAGTTAATCTTTGGGATTGAGCCTGTCAATGCCTCAATTTGTTCATACTGGTTCCTCAAAATGTCAAGATGTTACTTGACCAATGGATATCTCAACCTATTTCGAAAGTGGATATCATCCTATAGAGATCTATTTGGGTTAGTCTTCTTTGGAGTGTGTGGAAGGAGAGAAATAGAAAAGTGTTTGAAGTATTAGTACTAATTTATCTATGCTGAAATCAAACATTATTGCAGTGGCAACAGATTCGTTCTCTTCCCATAAGGATAGTGGTTTCATCCCCAAAAGTTTCATTATCAACAACCCTTTGGTAGTGGCAACTCCAGGTATTATCAGTATTACCCGAAGAGCGGCTATTTTGAAATCACCACCTCTGATTCGTACAAACTCAATTTCGATGGAAGCTCCTCTAGAAATCAAAGGACAACTGGTTTGGATGGACTCATTTGAAATAATTTGGGTCATATTATTTGTTCCTACTCAGGCGGCCCCTGTGGTACCACCACAGCAAATGAGACTGAAGCTTGAGGTTTATTAGAAGGATTAAAATTGATTTCTAGATTGGAAAGGGGTAAAATTGTAGAAGGATATTCAGCCAATATTATTGCTTGGAGTAAAAGAGAAGCCAATATACCATTAAAGTTAAGGGCTATTTTTATGAGTTAGAGATATATTATTGGCTACAAAATGCTGATCTTCAACATTGTTACCATGAGGCAAATGAAAAAGCTCATTCTCTTGCCAAACAAGGGTTTAATTCCTCTTCTTTGAGGGTTACCTTTTTCATAGGTTTTTCCTTTTTACTATTATATACCTTGTACTCTTACTTTGATTAATGGAAGCTTTCCATTAATGTTCAAAAAAAAAAGAAAGAGAACGTTAGGAGTAAGTACAGAGAGAGAGAGAGAGAGAGCAATTAATAAAACGAGAGTTGGAAGCAAGTTTTAACAAATAGAATGTCAAAATAGAGAAAAATTAAGAAATTGTAGGAACTTACATTATTGTTATTATTAAACCTATTGTATATTAATTAATAATTGATTATCATCATTTTAATAATAGAATTATAGTAAATAATTAAACTATAATTTGGATAGATAATTTTAATTAAATAATTAATTATGATATTGACTACACTATTTAAATTTTTATCATTAAATTTGGATAATATAAAATATAACTTTCAATAATGGTAAGTAGTTTTTATATTATGAATGTAATTAGTATATATATTGTATTCATTAAGAACTTAATATAGATGCATGTGAAAGAAGAAGAGATTATTAAATTGTATTATAAATAGAAAACAATTATAATTTGAATAGCTATTTTTTAATTATATAATTAATTATGATATTAATTGCATTATTTAAATTTGTATTATTAAGAACATAATTATTATATGTATTGTATTAAATAAGAACTTAATATACATAAATGTAGAGAAGAAGAGATTATTAAAGGGCAGGGAAGGGGAACGGGAAGAGGAAGAGAAATGTAGCAGGGATGGATGGGAATTGGGAGGAGAGAGAAAATGTAGAGAACTTTAGTTAATTGTAGAGAGAGAAAGAGAGATACAAAAAGTTGAGGGCCATATGTGAATAATAATGATGAATGGAAATAACATTACAAGTAATGAGAGAGAGAGAGAGAGAGAGAGAGAGAGAGAGAGAGAGAGAGCAAATGATAGAAGAGAGTTGAAATTTTTTTCAATAAATAGAAGGTCAAAATAGAGAAAAATTAAAAAATTACAGGACAATTATGAAAAATTAAAGGACAAATGTCAACAAAAAAAAAGAGGACTTTATGTATAAAATAATAGATATTAAGAGAAGGGAGGCTAATACTAGTACTCGTGGCATACAAAAAGCTATATGACACGCACTAGGTTGCAGGACAATTAGATATGTTAACTGGCCCACCTGGGGCTGGGCCAGCTCAGGCCCAAAGTTATGCAAGGTAGGACCAGGCCCGACAATTTGTTTTCATGCCCAACCTGGGCCTAGCCCGAAGTCATGACGACAAGGCTGCGCTCGAGCTTGAAATTTTGGATCGATTCCTGGGAGAAAAATAACACGGGAACTAAAAAAAAAAAGTTGAGAGAATATATTATCTCTTTCAAGATCTGTAAAAGAATTCGCTCCAAAACGATCTCTTCACAAGACAAATTTTATTCAATTATCATGTACCGTTTTATAATAAAAAGAGAGCTTCACGAAAATAAAAAACAAAAGGTTGCTCGATATATAACTAGTCTTCAACCTACGATTAGGAGTTATTGAAAGAAAATCCAAATCATGACGAAGATTTTGGAGTTATTGAAAGAAAAATTTGCCTATCATTCGCATGAAGAATATTTTTTTTCAATTTTTTTTTCATCTTTTGTCAGTCAATAATTTTTCCTTTTCCACTACGAAGTTATAATTGTTGAACTTGCTCCCATCAGGCCTCAGCATAGCCTTAGAGCTTGGTAGCAACAAGTTTAACCTTACATTCTTCTGGCAATTCACTCAATTCAAAATAATTCTCAACTGCACTTAACCCATAGAAACTTCGATATGCAGCTTATCATGAAATTCCGGGAGATCTACTTTGATACCAAAATCTTGTGGTCGCTCTATAAGATACGAATCTAACCTATAATATTTGTTACGTTCGAAATCAACACCCTAGGTTTGTCGTGGGACTACTAGTGCATGATCAATATGGCTACGAGCACCTTCTTCACGATGAACATTGTTCTCCAACTGTTGCAACCTCTGATCCAATCGTTGCATCTTTTGATTCATCTCACGTACTGCGTTTCGAACATCCTCTATAGCTTTAGTCAAATTTTCTATAGCTAGTGCCTAGCGATCATCCATAACAGGAGTATGATTAGCTTAATTAGCTTTTGGTGGCATTTCCAAAAAAAAACTAAATCTCTATATCTTACTTACTTTGATACCAATTGATGCAGGGAGAAAAATAACACATGAATAATAAAAATAAAAAAAGAAAAAAATTAAGAGAGTATAACCTCTCTCAAAGTCTGCAAAGAAATCCACCCAAAAAACGATATCTTCACAAAACCAAATATTATTCAATTCTCACTGCTTTACAATAAAAGGAGATCTTCTTTTAAAGAGACTAAAAAGAAAAATAAATCATAACTTAAAAAAAACCTCTCTAATTTACATGTAGTTTGCCTCTCTCCCAATCTTCTCTCTCTTCATCCCCTACTTTCTTTTTCCTCACGTCACCCCCTATTCTCTCTCCTTACATCATCCCCCGATCTTCTCTCTCCTCACATCTTAAAAGATTTGGACTAAGAAAAAATAGTGATTTGGGTTCTAACAGGATAACTTCCCGCCTTCTAAAAACCACCCTCTAGAAAATATCCATAACATATCTTCCCACGATTTCAGCTAATAAAAAAACTCTTTAAAACAAACATTGCCTACATTGTTAAAACATAAACATACAAATAAAATTTATCTAAATCATTTTTACCCTATTTAAGACCAATGACTTAATCAACCCTAATCTTCCCTAATTCTCACCCAATACGAGAAAAAGTTTGACGCCCCTATTATGCAGCCCATAAAAATTCCTAACTAACAAAAATAAAAAAAATAAAAAAAATAAAAATTTAGAGTTTTTAAAATTTTTCAGCATCAGTCTCCGGGGGGGGGGGGGGATGACCAGTATTTAAATGTGTATATATGTAACTAAAAAAATTCAGTTCAGGCCACTGCTAGCCTGAGGCTAACCCCTTAGGCCGTGGTCAAAACCCCAGCCTAAAACTAGGTTCGACCTGAAAGCCCACAGGCAGCAGGGCCCATTAACAGCCGCACCGACACTGGACAGTCCATTTTAGGGCCCATGATGGGTTTGAGTAGAGGAATGGCTCATCTTAGCCATCCAATTTACACATATTGGGTTGATGAGCCCGCAAGGAGTATAGTATTGGATATTTACATGTGGGACGATTGTAGACACCTATGATTTGGCCTAGTATTAACGACCTGATTTAAACAAACTTTCATCTCACATCAAGTCAAACACTCCCAATCACCCCCACCCCATGCCCAAGAGGAAAGAGTTAAGGGCATGACAACGAGCAAGCAGGTTTTCAAGTCATGCTCTATGGGTTTACCTCTTATGTACAATGCAATGGCTCTTATTGTATTCTATCAGTGCATCGAATTTCAGCTCATAAAACTCAAAATGGAATCAAAATCCATTTGAGGCAATTGATAGCCAATTAATTGTGGTGACAAATGGGAGTTGGATTGCTGCTGCTATAAAACCCCACTAATGGAGCTTACTTGGATCATGGCTATGAAACTCGAATCCAATGAATCAGCTCATTACTATTCTTTTGGAACATAGTGCTACTTCATTTATTTAAAGTTCGATTTCAAATATAACTGGTTATAATGTCTTAATGTTGCCCCCTTTTACTAGAGGAAAAGTATATCAAGAAACCATTTACTTTTGACAAGGTCATAATCACTCTTGTCCATCAGAATTTAGATTTGGTGGTTGTAAGAGTGTCATTGATTAGACTCGAAGTTCAAAGAACTTTGTGACACACCAAGCCATCCAATTTAACTTCTAATGTCTATCAGTAATTGTGACCTTATAATAAAGATAAATAATCTCATAATATACAATCCCTTTACTCAACATTGAACTCCAATTTATTATACTTAAAAATTCAATCTTTCAATCCAAAAAAATACCTAATGGGGTGGGCCAAGTCTACCCACTAAGGTCCCCTGGCACCTAATCTCCATGCCGGATTACCAGGCTTGATTCAGACAAGTTGAGTCTGCACAGGCCCAAGTCAATCCCTAGCTCCAGCTAATAACTAAAGCCCATGGAGTAAAATAAAGATTTTTCCAACTCGAAGATAACCATTTAATATTAAATCAAATGCTTTGCACATTACATCTTGCAAATACTGAAGAAAACCCACTACTGATCAAATAATTACAGCCAACACCACCAACCGCTTTGGGCCAAGCCCCTTGGGTGCAACCCATGGGGCTAGATTACCAGGCCGTGCAGGACAGAGCCCATCCCTAGCTTCAGCTAAGTGACTGAAGGCCATAAAGTAAAATAATGCCTTCTCCAACTAGAAGATACATAGTTTAAACCATTTAATTTGAAGTCAAATGAGCTGTACAATTACATCTCGCCAGTTCTGGAGAAAACCCAAATTTGATCAAATGATCATAGGCACCAGAACCAATCTTCACCTCTTTTGCCAATTGAGAAAAATCAAAACATATTGACACTAACCAATTCAGAGCTCTAAAATAGGCCTACCTTCTATGGTTTTCTTTACACGAAAAACATCTTACCTCATCGTGGACCAGAGAGCTCCATAGCTTCAATTATGGAAGAAGACCCATCAAGAACATCAGCTCCAGTTCTTGAAAAACTATGACATCTTTCATAGCTGATGTCTGGTCTCTCTAAATGTTCAGTAGCGCCCGGGCCACCTTCCAACATCTTGACTACTTCGGACATCTTTGGTCGAAGGTTGGGATTAGACTGAGTGCATAACAGAGCCACCATCACCATGCACTCTATTTCTGACCCATCAAAGTAGCCACTGAGATCCTTATCCACCATCTGATCCAGTCTCTTCTCCTCAAAAGCAGATCTCACCTGATCATACTTTGATCAGAAATCAACAGTGGAAAACAAAACATTGAAAAACCCAGAAAGTAATAATACGAAGAATTTCTATTCCAATTTGCTAAGACATAATTGGTAATGCTGAAAATTAATTGAATCGGCAGCGTTCACTTCTCTGCGATCAAAGGGGGAGTTGTGCAGGTTCCAATGAAGCGATAAAAACATCCAAACCAACTTTTCTGATTTTCCTTGAGAGGGCATAAGATATAACTAATCTAGTCAAATATCCGGATAGTGCTAAATATGGGGATATTTTCTGAAATTTAGTTCAGATGCTACATTGAATGGAATATTTCAACAAATAGCATAGGTGGAAATTGCAGTCATGTGCAATAACAGAAGACGACCCATCAAGGCTCTCTAAATTATTGGAGCACCCGGGGGCAAGAAAACAGATTCCTACTCTTCATACAACAAGAATACCCTTGATTTTCTGAAGCATGCATTTCTAATTAATTCAGAGATAGTTCCCATATGGATAGTTCAATTCTCCAGAAGCAAAGAACCTTGTGAATCTCAAATAATTAACTCAAATCAGAGTAGCAATTCAAGAATATAATACTAGAGAAAGTTTATTCCAGCTTACCCAGTCAAGGATGCCCTTATGATTAAGGGAACGGTCAGCACCCATTGCCTTTTGCCCTGTTATAAGCTCCAAAAGAAGTACTCCAAATCCAAAAACATCAGTTTTCTCAGAGGACTGCCCTGTAGAGAGATACTCTGGAGCAATGTGTCCTACCGTGCCCCTCACTGCAGTAGTGACATGTGAGTCCCTCCGGTCTAAAAGCTTCGCCAATCCGAAATCACCTACAACTGCTTCAAAACTATCATCCAACAATATGTTGGCAGCTTTTACATCTCTGTGTATGATCTTAGGATTACATTGTTCATGAAGGTACAGAAGGCCCCGAGCAGCCCCAATAGCAATTCGAACTCGTTTTTCCCAATCCAAAGCTGGCTTGTCGCAGAGATTGTCTGCGCAAGGAACTTACGAGGATATCAGGATAAATATATGCATGGTGATTAAATATAACTACATGATTTAATTCTATGCCGCATGGGTCAATTAATAGTGAGAAGTACATCTTGGTAAGTCATTACAAGTGTACGTATGCTATGAGACATATCTCTTCTGCTCCATACTGGTAATCTTTTGGTACATTATTCATGTTTGTTCAACCCTTAATCCAGCCTAAATTTTCATGAAATGTTTTAGGCTGTAGGCCTCTAGTTTGCAAATTATGCCACATACATCATAATCGTTGAGACACTGTGATTCACATTCTCCTAGGTGAACTTATTGAGAATCTTTGATAACATTGTCTTGAAATAGATAAATGTCATGCAAGAATGGTAAACTCAAATTCTAAAAATAAATATCAACAAAACCAAAGAAGTGGTATAAATATACACCTAAAGTTTTAAATTCTCTAGATTTTGTATTTCGTCATGTAATCTGATTAGAAAATTAGTTATTTTCCAAGAAGCAAACCTCTTAAGCGATCAGCCACACTGCCATTTGACATATATGGGTATACAAGCAACCTTTCATTTGAAGTCATACAAAATCCATATAACCGAAGAAGGTTACGGTGCAAAGCTAAGCTGATGGTTTCTACTTCTGTCTGAAACTGGACTTCCCCAGTAAAACTTGGATCTTTCAACCTTTTCACAGCCACCACAGCCCCATTTTGTAGGAAACCCTTATAAACCACCCCAAAACCTCCTTGGCCTAAGATGCGCCTGGGATTAAAATTATCAGTAGCGATTTGAAGTTCCCGATATGAAAATCTCTTCAAATTCGCAATATCAACCTCACATTCATGTTTCTCTGCAGAAAAGCAAAATTAAAAGTATGTGAAATATATGCTTTATTGGGAGTGCATGTGCATTCTCTAGAAAATGCACATCCTGCTGTCCCTACCAATTAATCTATCTATCCATCTATCATTCCATCTACTTATAGATATGATATCGATCGACCAACAGACCGAGAGGGAGAGGGAGAGAGAGAGAGAGAGAGAGAGTCATGTGATAATTCATCTAAGAGAATAGATCGGTGTGTCATGACAGAAAGTACCATAGGAAGCAAAGTGAATATGTCGCTTGGATGCATGCTGCCAGTACAAAAACACTAGAAAGAAAACCAATAGTGCAGAAATGCAGCCAAGGCTTACAGCAATAGCAATCACTGCTCGATGATCATAAGGGTGTCGAGATGGCTCGGCCTCTGCAAAATAAGTAAATGTACACTTGTTATAAATATCATAGGGAGCTATGAATTATTCATGTGATTTTGATAAAACTTACGCATTATTGGCTTTGGAGTATCTATGCAGCCTTTTAAGAATGATGATGCACAAAGAAACCCATTTCCTGCAACACTGTAAACCCCATTTCCAGTTTTGTTTTTAATTATTACTCGTAAGTAAACCCCACTTCCAGTTAAACAGCAATAAAGTTTTGTTGATAAATAAAATAATAGAAGACAAAGAAGTACGAAAAGAGATCATCAATAAGAATCCAACTTGTCTCACCTGTAATCTTTAGCACGTATTCTTGGAGCAGGACCACTGAGATTGTTAAATGACAAATCCCTGATTCACAAACAATCTGATGGTGATGTAGAATTTTAAAGAAAGAAAGAAAATCCTGACAAAATAGGGAATGTATATTATTGTCCTATGGACTACAGGAAACACAAGGCAATTAGGGTTGCGACTGCCAATGAAATAGACAGTGATGGAGAATGGGAGCCACCACTGCATAATGTCCTGTAACTGGTAGGCAATACATTCTCTGCATCACGACCCATCATTTCATTTAAGCGCCTCATAAAACATTGTTTTCTGTAGTCCATGGGTGTGTATTACTTTCCAAACAAAATAACGCTACTACTGAAAGAAAGGGAAATAGACCCAAATGCAACAAGGGGAACACATACAAGAATATAATTCCTGATAGGTTGGCAACGAGTGCTGGAATTGGTCCAGATAGTCCATTTTTGGTAAGTCTCCTACGAAATTAAGTTACGGAAATTGTTAAGATACCAAATTTGTTTTCACAATTCATGAAAACTAAGTGGGCAATAGAAGGTCAAGGAAGGTTTCTCATTATAATTCAGATAGACACCCACAAGTAATTAAGGTTCATTAGAAAGCCCAAAGAACTTGGTATTTCACCAACAAATTGGTTGACAGAGAGGTCTAAAGTCTGAAGCTTTGTAAGTCTTCCTAGTTCAACTGGAATAGGACCTGCCAGATTGTTGTCTTGCAATAACCTGCAAATACCCTCTTGATCTTAGGAGAAAGCCCAAGCATGCTTCATGATCAATGGCATCATAGTTTGTAATTTTGGAACAATTTGAGTTTCGCCAGTAATGATTTTGTCAAAACAGAACAAACCAACACCCTTTCTTACAAGAATGACATGGAAAATTAGAAATCACATGCTCTATTAGGAAAAATATGCAGATTGGAAAGTAATGGTGCAAGATATAAAAGCAATTGGCGATAATACATCGATGACAAAGCTAACCACAAAGAAAATGACATAAGATAAACCATCTATCACAAATATTTATAGGTTCAGCTCCTTTCATCCAGGTCAAATTGAAAGCAGTTAATTACATAAATAAGTAAAAAAAATAGATTACAGGTTTAACATTATTTAGCAAGATATTTCCCGAAAACCGACATATCTACTGGATTCCCTTCATAGTAAGAAACCTTTGTCATTTTGATGCAGGTATTCTTTGCATATATAAGGTTTAGTAAATATAGTTATATGCTATGTACTACACATGGATACAACTAACTTGCATTAAAAAATTACAAGGATAGAGGTGGTAAAATATTGTTTCAAAACATCCATTAAACAGAATGTTTCTATTAACTTACAATGTTTGAAGTTGACTCAAATTCCCAATGATAGGGGAAAGGTAACCGGACAAGCTTTTGCTAGGCATCTCTCTGTGAACAATTCAACCAAGTCATGTATTTATCATATTCTACTTCAAATCACAATAGAAACTTTTGATAAAAATCACATAAATAGCAAACCAAATCACATACATAGAATATTCGAAAAGAGAAAATCGTAAATTACTAGTGTTCCATATACAAAATCCCAGCCCCCAACAAAAGACAAAAAAGGAAAAAAAAAAGGAAATGCAATCACACAATGGTAGGCCAATGAAATCCACTGCTACTTTGAATGCTTGCCATGGCCAATACATGCGCCAAGCAACAAAGATACACATTTTAGATAAGAGCAGTGTTTTAAAATGCGGTATGCAGCCCGATGCATTGGAAAGCCGATGCGGTCAATAAATATAAAAAACAATCTGAAAAATCTAAAAAATAGGTTAATGCAAAGAAAACTAGAAACTAGGTATTTAAATTATGGAGGTGATTTATGTGATAGTAGGTATTTAAATTATTCATTAACTCCAAAAGGATCAGCTGTCGGGGATTTCGTAACCATTATCTCCAAATAGATCATAGAAGACATTAGTAAGTAAAAAACTAGAAACTTGAAACTAGCTTCATAAATCATTCAATAACCATAATCACAAACTTGCAACCACAAACTTTAAAGTTACAAACACCCAAAAGAAACAAATATCGATTTCTTCTCGGCCCTTGAAACCCTCAAATCAACACTTTGCTAAAACTTCCTCAAATCAACACCCAAAAGAAACAAATCAACAACCAAAGATCAACTAATACGAAAATCTAAGAATTTCAAAAAAAATAAAATTTCCGTCACTTTGTTTTTTTGATCGATTTGATGAAGGCCATGGATGTGGGCTGTTTTTGGTAGTTTGGGGGGTTTAATACCCCCCCATACCCTTTCCCCCCTTTTTCAGGGCTTAAAAAGTAAAAAATACCCATTCTCGAGTGGCTTCTTTTCACATCACTCGCTAGCCGCATATGTGAGTTATGCAAGATGCGGCTGCATATGTGGGCTATGCAAGATGCAGCCGCATATGTGGAGGGATGCGATTCGGCTGCATTTTAAAACCGTCGATAAGAGTACATCATATACTGGACATTAGAGCCATTGTAAGCATGCTTTAATAGGAAGTCTGCATGGGGATGCAAATCATGTGGCACTCTTAGTGAGAGAGACACAGATCCCAGATTAATGACTCCCAAATAAAACATGAACACGACCAAATAATCTCTTAGAAGTATTTGTCACTTTTAAATCTATGATACGATGACATTGCACCAGAATCTGTGTCCAATTCGGATTCGAACAATCAAACTTGCATTACTATATTTCATTAAGTCAAGTAGAACACATGCATACAAGTTTGTACAATGCATAGTGACATACATACATATATACCATCATCATAATCATCATCATAACATTTCAAATAATAAATTAACTTTTTTGAATTTTTAATGAAAATAATAAAATTAACTTCCAAAAGATAAAACACGGGCTCCAAATTATGGACGTGTATGCCCAATAGTAATGAGAATTGCATCAAGAGTTTTGGACACGAGCAATGTAGCCATAGATGCACGTGCCCAAATGTCGGATGCATTTGTCCAGTATTTGGACACGTGCGTCGATGTTTCACATGCCAAGAGACATCTGTCTCAAATGAAATTTGCGTCAAAGTCAAAATTTGTTTAAGACACATGGCAAACACATCTAACTATGTCTAATGGCATATCTGTTGTGTCTAGATGAACATCGAACATGTGTGTTGATGTAAATAAAGTTCAAGATAGAAGCTAAATTTAAGTTTCTATTACTTTTTGGAAAAATTACTTACAGACAGGTTATATTTACCAGAATTACATTTTGGTCCAAAATTAGTAATTTATGTAGGGAAAACGTTTATATAAGGATGCAACCTAATAATGTAGAACTACGGATGCACCTCAAAAATCCATCAAAAAAGGTAGCTTTAATGTTGAAAAACCCTTTGATTGATCATCTCGACATCGAGATGTATGACCATGAAAAATAAAAAGATTTTAAGTCTCAGAAATAGTGCATTTCACAACATATTATCTAAACCGTCCATTTTCAAGTTTTTTATATGTTTATAGATCTACTTGATTTTAACCATTTTTGAAATTTAAAATTTTATAAGTAGATATAAAAATAAATTTTGAGATAATCC